CCTCAGCGACCAGCACGGATCAGCTCCAGGCATGACGAAGTGATATCGTCCTCTTTTGGAAGGCCAAACAAAGTAGTTTCGCTTTCACAACGAAACACACAGCGTCTTCACGACATGGCAGCGGAAACAACAATACTACAGCGAGAATAAAAGTTACGCCTTCTTTCTTTGTGTGAACATTTGGGCGGCGTTACGCAAATCTTCCCACATAGTGACATAGACATGTGGGGGTGTGTTAGAACGAGGTGTTTTAGGTAGGCGTGGTTAACGCTGAACTTTTATAAAGAATATCTCTTTGGATTTGAGACTTTAGTCTTTGCAACTCTACAGATCTTCTTTATGCACCAAGAGCTTGTAACACTCCAAAGACAAAGGAAAACTTGAAATCGCATCATATGACCCCTTTAACACAAGGAGCCGTTCTGAGATCAGACTGAACTGTGCATCACTTGTGCTGACCGACCGTACATCAAATGTATATTTAACATTACATTAATAGGATGGCCTACTACTACCCCCGATAGCACACGTACATCACGGAGATGTCTATTTGACGTCTGCATCTTCATCTGCAAGACGTATGATCGCTTCATCTGGAAAGCATCTGCTGTCTGATAGGAAACGTCCTGAAGACGTATTACAGATGAGCAAACACTAAAAAAATACGTCTTGCAGATGTAAGTGTAGACGTCAAATAGACGTCTCTGTAATGTGCAATAGTCTACAGGACGTTTCCTATCAGATGTCAAATAGACGTTTAGAAGATGTCTTTAAGATGTTTATGATTTAGAATTAATGTAAAACTGACATCTTAAAGAGGTCTATTAGATGTTTGTACACAGCAGATGCTTTCCAGATGAAGAGATCTTTAACAGATGTCTTGCAGACGTACCTGTGCTATCTGCTAGGCTATTTGTTATATTCTGTAGTATGTTATTGTGTGCACTGCAGTAACCTATGTGAGATATTATATCCCACAATGCAGTGCGCCTTATATTTATATTGTTTACTTTATATTTCCAGCCACAAACAAACCGAAATAAAATAGTAGCCATATTTTTTTTATTATTATCTCTATTTTGGATTAAAATAGCGTTCATTCTGAACAAGATCAGACCAAACTGTACACATCAGGTGTCAGAAGTATATTTATCATTTCTAGGTTATGGTCTCTGTAGGGTTCGCGCGCGCAAGTGAATGTGTGACGCGAAATCTGGCCAAAGTTTTGGGACACGACCGGACATAAATAAAAGGTGGGCGACAGGGTGGGACATCACGCCTAAAATAAACAAGCACTCAATTTAATCATTTTATGTCTGTTATTAGATCATATGCACGGTTATCTATAGTACAAACATTACGGGAATAAGTGCAGGCGGAATAAAGAAAGTAAAACGCCCAAATAAATGGACCAAATGCAGAAACGTACTGTAGTTCGCAGATGCTTCCGTCCCGTCCTGTAGATCGCCGTTATGGAAGATGAAGCAGCCTGTACGGTGCAGATCCGCAGTCAGGAGCTCGTGTGTTGGAGGAGATCCCCGTTCACACGCTTTTACCGGAGAACCGACGCGTTTGTTCACGCATCACCGAATCCCGACGATGACGCACTGAAGCCGTTCAAACGAGTCTGTCTCGTGTCTTTTGAGATTCTGTAAACAGCTGTCAGCTCACAATACATGTATTTATAATTAATAGTTTTATATAAGTATGATTCTATAACACCCTTAAACTAAAATGCTTGGCACAAGGGTTTTCATGTGGAGACAGCAATTTTGTTATTTAAAAAAAGACATATTTTACAAATTAATACCAATATTTCTGAAATTACACGTTCAAAGCAAGTTTTCTTATATATATACAGTATATACACACACACACACTACTGTGCAAAAGTCTTAGGCCATTAGTATCTTCACCACACTCTTAAAAATGATGTGTTGAAAATAACACAACCTGTATGCATTTTTTTTTTTTACAGATTTAACAAAAAGACACAAAAACGTGTTAAAATTGTCATAATACCAAAAAAAAAAGGAAAAAAAAAGTTAAAAATCAACACAAAAGATTGAAACCATTTGTTTTGTTGGTGAAAATACTAATGGCCTACTAATGCACAGTACTATGTATGTGTAAATATATATATATATATATACACACACACACATTTACAGTGGAGGGACAGTTCAAGTCAATAACTCAAAATACAGTCATTCTGGAAAAAAAAGGTTTAGCAGTCTTATAAATTAGGAGACTCGGTCAATATGAAAATTTAAATATAACATAAAATGTAAAAAGAAATATATTAGGGATGTAACGATTCACTCAACTCACGATTCGATTCGATTCACAGTTATTATAATTTTTTTAACAAAATTAGATTTAAGACAAATTATAAATTAAATGTGTCCTTTTATAATTGCTTGGACAAAATGCTGCACATTTCTTTGTGAAATTGAAATAGAACACTATAATAATATACTAATATAGCACTTGCATATTATTCCTCTTTTGTTGGTTTTGATTGCTTCTATTGTCCTCATTTGTAAGTCGCTTCAGATAAAAGCGTCTGCTAAATTACAAAATTTAAATATAATGTAAATGTAAATAACAAAACTAAATTGAAATTTTAAAACAAGCCCCAAATCAAATACATAAGTAACACAAATAAAATAAATCTCTTCATATAAACAAACTAAGGCTTTGTCTGTGCTCTTTCGTTTTAAAATTAGAGGCAACCACTGCATTTTAATCTTGATCCAAACAAAGATGCTGCATACATGCAACATGAGCAGTTTTTAATCTAAATTAGATTGTATAATTTCTAATATAAACTCCTACACCTAAATGAATCGCGATTTGTTTAGCATCTTTGTTTAGCGACTTTAGTCTGTACAATTTTCTATTTTTTATTTATTTCATTATTATGCTGTAACAAGCAGCAGAAAGAAAAAAAAAATCCAAAAACCATATATACATGATCACACAAAAATATTCCATTCAGAGTGAGAAAGAAAATATTTACTAAACACATTTTTGTTTTCTATAAAGTCAACTCTGTAGGACACAGCAAGTCTTTAATTAGACTCAAAATATCACAATCCTCCAAAAAACAGCAAAACTACAACACCAGCTGCTCACTGATTGCTCCACAGAGCTTCAGTGAGTGTTATGAGAAGTTTCAGCTGAGGTTTACAACACAAAGATATTGTTAACTGTTCCACCAGGACAGAAGACCCAGACCTGGTTCACTTACAGATCCCTGCAGAAGAAAACAAGAGACGTTTGTGGTCTTACTCTCAGTGCATGCAACTGAAAAGACAAACGGTGGACAGAACAAGTTATATACTCATAATAGCTATATCTAATATCCTCACTATGAGTGTGTACGGAGCCTCTTTCTGCGGCGCGCTGTCCTCCGCTCCTGCAGGTGGCGCTGTGGCTGCGCTGGGAGCTTCCTTCTCTGTGCTGGGGCCGGTGGGTGAGGTGTCGATGAAGACCTCGTCCACCACCCGGAAGCGGATGTCCTCGCCCCGGTCCATGAAGAGGTCGTGAGCGCCCTCGTCCGTCTCGTACTCCCACACCCACAGCTGCTCCGCCTCGTCGCTACGCCAATCGTGAAGGAACAGAGCATGCTGGGTAGATGATGCTACAAACACACTAATAACTAGCTAAACAAGAGTTTGATATTAATCGTTCAGGATACAATTTAGCCGGCTGCTGTAGCGACTCTGGTGGGATTATTATGTCGTCGAACAATCCGAGGCTCACTGTGGAAACGACACACACAAACTTGTTACTCACCTCATAACGACTGGCTACATGCACATCATTTTCCAATGATTTTTTATTTTTTAATTTCCAAATGGGTTCCGTGTTCTAAATAAGCCATTATTCTGATGCTCTTGATCTACTGGAGTATATTAAGACTTGACTGTGAATATGAACTGTAATGATGTGCATGCAGATGTGCTCATTGTGTTATTTTAGTATCACTGAGATAATTCAATTCAAGTTTATTTGTATAGCACTTTTCACGATACAAATCGTTGCAAAGCAGCTTTACAGCAAATTACGTTTCTACAATATATTTAGTAGTAGCTTGTCAGTGGTGATGTCAAATTGATGTAGATATGGCAGAAATGTGCAGTAATATTCAGTTAATGACGTAATCAAACGGACGATGAAGATACTATTATAGTTTTTATTAATATTTTGAATTATCTTTATCTTTAGGTTTTTTATTTTTAAATTAAGTTTTCTGTAATTCTGTTGTGGTTTTGTCATTTTTAATATTTAAATCATATATTTTTTAATATATTTTTAAAATATATCTATATAGTTTTAAATTTTTTTTTTCAGTTTTAGTACAAGTTAAAATGAAAATGAGAAATGTTGCCTTGGCAACCAGCTGAAATAAAATATATATATATATTTTTTTTCTCTATTTCAGTTCATGCTTATTTTAACCTTTTTATTGTTTTAGTACTTCATCTTAAAGTAAATTTGAACTGAAATGGAAAAAAGTTTTGAAAACGTTTTTTTTTTTTTTATTATTAATTATTTTAGTATTTCAACTGAAACTAAATTAATTTAAGAAATGTTGTCTTCGCAACTAGCTGAAATAAAATGTTTAAGTGTATAATTAATATTTATTTTCTGTAACATTTTTTATGGTTTTAATTTGTAGCCTTGTTTATGGTTTTACTTGAACTAAATGAAAATGAGAAATTAAACTAGCTGCTTTTTTTTCATACATTTTACTTCCGTTAACATTTATTTTATTTCAAGTAATGACAATTTTTTATGGTTATGGTTTTAGTTTTAGTTAACAGTAAAACCCCCGCCACTGAAGAACACGAGAAGAGAAAAGCATCTCTCACCATGAACACCTTCAGCACTGCAGCCTTTAATCTTCCCAACCAGAATCTCATCCAGGAACGGGTGGAAAACCACGTATCGAAAATGAACTGCAGGAGGAGAGAGCGAGAGAATGAGGTTTAGCTGGACCGAGAGCGTCGCTGTATGAATGCCGTGAGGAACAGAGCACCTTTAGTATGAGACGCTCCGTCTCCAGGAAAGATGAAGGAGTCCTCCAGTTTAGTGACGTCATACAGACAGACACACAAGCCCACATTATACACCACCTGCAGACGGGTTCAGGACAGCAGTCATGTACAGCTCCAGCCGGATGCGTTTATAAGGCCTGCATGTCTTTGAGAATGACTCGGAGTGCTTGAAATCTTGAGGACAAAGTCTTCTTCAAAGTATGTTTTCAATGTTAAACAAAAACAACGTTTTAATGAAGTGAAGACCTTTAATACATTTTCTAACATTTAAATGATAGCAGAATGTAATGATTTTGACTTGTTGTGATATGTTTTTGCTGTTTTTTGCTATGTTTTTTTGTTTGTTGTTGTCTCATACTTTTAGATACACTGTTATTTGCAAATGCTACTGCTGATGTTAGCTTGTTAGCTTTTAATATACGGTTTTATCCTGATTAAAGCTTTAATTCAGTACAGCAACTGCACACGCGTCCATGTTTAATGCTTCTCATAGCTATGTGAAAATAAGTGTATAATTGTAACAGTCAAACAGCAACATTACACACTAACTAATGTTAAAAAAGTGCAATCGCAATGAACCACCCCTTTAATAATTAATATATTAAAAACAATATTGAGTGAGAAAACATTTTATGTCTAATAAAGTGGATTTTTATATCGTATGCAATGTTAATTATGTGTCAAAACATTGGACAAAAACACTGGACTTGCTAAGACAAGTTATCTAGCAGTAAATTTGTAATAATAATAATAATAGTTAAATTATAATTCTCAAATACTTTAAATAATGCGCCAATCTTAAGCTTTATGATGGTTATGATGGATGCTTTATATCATAATAATACTTAATATTATTGTTTTTGACAATAGTTTTGGTCAAATAAATGCAGTCCTGGTGAGTAGAAGAAAATTTTGAAAATTGCATTCTGGTATTCATGTATACATAATTAATATAATGTGTGTGTGTGTGTGTGTGTATATATTTCTATACATGCATATGTATATTCATGAAGCATTTGTTTTGCAACATGATTTAATGTAGACATCTAAGCACAATCAAGGGTTGAGCAACCTTCAGCATGATGACAAACACACATCTTCATGTCAGTTTCTCTGCTCACCTTGTTGGCGAGTTTCTTGTTGAGTTCTTCGGCGATCGCTTCGTTCAGCTGCCGATGGAAACTCCAGGGCGGAATCCGGACCGTGTCCACCATCTCCACCAGCACAAACATACTGAACCAGAACCAGAACCAGAACCGAGCCGAACTCTGAACACGCGGAAGCCGGACTACACGACGCGCTGCGAGCTGCTAGACATCCGAGATCTTGCAAAGACTGAGCGTATGTACTGCTAGTGCTCGACACACATCTATTAGCTACTGATCTATGAATCTGACACTCTTTCAGGCTCTGTGATGAGATTCTGCTGCAGGTTTTCTGTCATATTAAGTTACCTCTCCGTCCCGACGAAGCCTCAGGAGCCCGTGTTTGTGTGCAGACAGATGTTATCCAGCTGCTCCGGTTTCAGTTATACATTTACACCATTAATAGCCCAAAATCTCTCATGATTTGAGCTCACCGAATGACAACAGCTACAGCTACACATGTGCCGAATCACGACAGCCGCTGGCGCTTTACGGCACTGACGTCACGTGATGTTGGTACATTTAAGCTCTTTTTAAGCTAAGTAATTTTTTAAGCTAAATTGCTTGTAGCACTATTTTGTGGTGTAATACTTATAAAATATAATACGCTTTAATTTATGTCAGAATTTCAATTTTTTTAGAATGTTGTTTTTTGTCTTTTATGCTTGTAAATGTTGTTGTCCGTTGCAAATTAAAATAAACACTTGCAAAAAAAATCATATAAACTAATATTAATTAATCTTACATTAAATATATATATATATATATTCTGTTTATATATACAAAGATTTATATTTTGTTTTGAACTCAAGTGCGTCAGACTGATAATTCATCAATTATGCATAATTGTTTTGTGTCCGTCAAGTTCCAAATAATGTCAGAAAATAATAAGGAACATGACGCTTGCAAATCAGTTATATTAATATTTACATTTAATATTCGTGTATTACATATTTCATGTGTTCAAATTCAGCGTTTAGTTCTCTGTTCAAAGAATAACGACTAAAATCGAATGTGTTTACATTTGAATTTTAAACTGAGACTAAAAATATATGAATCATCTCCTATATGCCCTTAATTCTTATGTTTCTTGTGTTTTATTGAGGTGGGTTTGGTTCTAAGATTGATGGGATATTAAAAGTCCAGTTAGTTTAAAAACTTAAATGAGTTTATACAATTTAATAAAGAGATTTCCATCATAATATTTAAGACTTTTAAGACAATGTGACTGCCATTTTATAAGCATCATACCTAAATGCCTTCCCCTGTCTCGTCTTTAGGCTAATGCTTTGTTTACATACCTGTTCTTCACTTTTCAGAGATGAATATGCAGCAGAGACATCTGCAGTCCACTGATGTTCAAAACAGCTCCTCACAGTTCATCCAGCATGCAGTATATGTTGCATCGGGCATTGCTGAGGAAATGTTTAGTAACATTTAGTCTGTCAGAAATAAATCAGAGGCTGTGTAAATGTCGAGAAGTTTAGTTCAGCGCAGCACCTGCATATAAAACCATTAGAATGTCAATTTAACAACAGATATGTTTTAGCAAGCATGTGAACATTTGGACTGAAATAAGATGTTTAGATGGGGACATGCTGTCTTATAGTAAAAATTACGAGACGTAAGGTTAAATATCAGATGTGTCATGTTGATGGTAAAGCCATTAGAATGTCAATTTAACAACAGATATGTTTTAGCAAGCATGTAAACATTTGGACTGAAATAAGATGTTTAGATGGGGACATGCTGTCTTATAGTAAAAATTACGAGACGTAAGGTTAAATATCAGATGTGTCATGTTGATGGTAAACCATATCACTCCCTCTTTGCGTAATGGATGAGAAAATGTGAAAGAGTTCATTTTTACAAGTAATAAATTCCTAAGACACAATCCTAAATTATTTTTATTAAACTACATCATATACTAATTCTCAAAAATCAAATCTAATTTCCGAGGGGAACATATTCCAAAAGCCAGTAAAGAGTACTGACCAAAAATGACAAGATTATTTTCTTTTGTGTTTGGGTCTTTAGGTTGACGTCAAGTTGCATTAGTTTTTAATTTCATATATTTAACAAAAAAAAAAAAAATTACACCAAAAGCTCTCACTGCTGCGTTCTGTTGTCTGGAAACTCCAATTCCCATCATGCACGTTGTTACGCGCTGAACTACGTCACCACGCCACCATCTCGTGCCAGCCAATGGCTGCATTGTTGCTATGACATCTTTTATTTTTAGCCTTCTGCAGCACAGCCTCGCATATGGAAACATTATTTCGCCAGATTAATTAGAGACGAAGTGAATAAACATGCCTCAAAAATATCAAATCAGCATGATTTTAACATTATGGATAATAACATACTATAGTATTAAAAGCAAACACTGCTTTATGCGCCTGTAAAATCGAGTATTATATAATTGTTATCAAGTTTAAATGAGTTTAGAGCGCTTTAACACACTAGTGACCGCTTACCCATCCGGACGGGTTGAATTATTGCGCAAGATCTAATCAGTAAGTAGTTCCAGCTGAAAACGCGTCACAGCGCAGGGCGGAGCGATATAAATGCGCGAGGCTGCCAAACCGAAGTTTCCACGGGCGCGTGCGGGAGCAGGGACATGAATTAAAACTAAAATAAAAATAAAAGTGCGTTTCAGTCAAAACGCAACGCATGGCTGTGAAGGATTTCTTCAACGCCTCAAGCACGAATAATCACTGATATTTGTGTAATTAATGGAAATAATAAGTGAAGGGAAGAAACAGAGCTTTTAATCAGTAAGTACTTGATTAATTTCTATTTAAACAACCAACAGTTTTCATCAGAATGACAGCAGAATAGATTAGTGCTGGACTTGATTGTGAACGTGCATATTCAGTCTTTGTTGTTTTGAATGAGTGATGCGTTGTCGTCCATTTTAGATAGTCACGAAGTAACAAATAAAAATACAATAATATGTCGCTAATTGATACTATTTGCATGCAACCCTGTTCGAGTCCTTGATGAATGCGTGTTTGCACAGATGTCCTTGGCTTTAATGGTGTGCTGAGGTGACTAAAACAGGCCAGAGGTTTGCAAAAGCTGATTATTTCTCTGCTCTCAGCGTCTAACAGCTGCTGGACATTATAAGCTCATTTTATATCCGAGTGTCAGAAATAACTTTATGGAACACGGTGTTCTAATACCAGTTTTTGTGAACTGGGATAACAGTGCAAAATGAATTATAACGCTCAGGATTTGTGGTTTTGAATTGAAACTCTCTGGTTAGTTTTGGAGTTGGATAATTGCGTTTAATTAAAATAAATTACGTTTCTTTGAGGGTGTTTTGATGAAGCTGGTGTAATTTCTGGAGGTGAGGTGAACCCGCGGGATGCGTTCAGTGTCTGATGGGAGTGTAAACAAACAGTCAGGCTTGTGGATAAATGTAGCTGTTTGTGTTGTGGCATTTGATCAAACTCTGACATTGAGTGACATTGAAAGCACGACATGAATTTTTCAGATGGATGCACTGCTCGTTTAGTTTGTTTTATCCATTAGTAATTTCAACATATTAAATGACAGCATAAAATCTCGAATAGAGATTAGATTTTTTTTTTTAAATCGTGCATTTTGAATAAAATAATTGCACAAGGAAAATGTCAAATCACCTAACATCTATGTCCGTATATCTAAACCGCGTTTTGAATTTAATGGCTGCATGATGAAACAACCGTGCTGGTATTTATCTGTGTTTAAGCGCACTATTTAACGCGTCTCTTTTCTGAATAATCATCCGTTTCATAACATTTACCGGCGGTCACTGTCATCAAATGTTGCTGCAGCTCAACGCGGATCCGCCTCTCTTATAAATCTTACAAGGGCGGTGCATTTATAAAAACGGGCTTAACGGCGCTTATCAGTGTTTTGAAAATGCGGAGGCGTCACATCAACATTCACACGCGCGGTGATGACGTCAAAGGCGGCGGCGTGGTGCATGCCGGGAGGTGTAGTTTTTAACTCCTGCCTTCAACAGCACCATTTTATCAACAGTTTACAAGGTTTCCCCTCAGATGGTTTAAAACTCGAAATGCACAATATGATATTTTGCTAATTTCGGTAGAATGTATTGCAGTAAGTGTATGTGATGTCATTTTAGGTGCCATTTTAAAAATTGCATGCTTTCTCCCATCTCCGTTTAATGTGCAGGTAAACTATAAACCACAAACCATTGGTTTGTTACTTCCTGTAAAGTGTATACTCTGGCACAGTCAAAAGTGATGCCTTTTCCACTATTGGGACAAAAATGACATTCACTGGGCTTGAAGTAATATAATATATCCTTGTAGAACATTCCCTCTTAGTGTTTCTTTGAGCTAGTGTGAGTGTACGGGATGCATTTGGTGGCAAATTTTCCTCTCTTAGCACATGTAATCCTAAGTGCTTTAGCCAGAGGGACAGATGAGGGATTTCATGAAGATAATCGCGGATTGGTACCTTGGCCTCAGCATCTGTTGAAACAAAGAAACCTGCACACAGACAGTCAATGAACTGCGTATTAATATTCTGTTTAACTGGTCTGTCTTTGTCTTTCTAGAGGCTTTGACGAAACCGGATCTTGGAAAGCTGCTGTCCGGTCTTCATACATCAGTGCTTCAGGGTGAAGATTTAAAGATTAACTGGTCTCTGACAATCACTTTTACGCAATTTCTGAGCAACGATCCAAAATCAGAGGCCCTTGTTTTAAATTGACGTTTAAGGCAAAGACTAAAGACTTTCACCTTGATATTTGCAAGTGATGATAGGACAGCCGTAAATCTCTGTATAACTGAAGGAAGTTTCAACACATAATCAAATTCATCATGCATCTGGAAGTTAAAGTTGCGTTGAACTTCATCGTGTCCTACTTGTACAACAAGCTCCCGCGCCGTAGGGCAGATCTGTTTGGTGAGGAGTTGGAGCGTATCCTGGTGTCCCGCTTCGAAGGGCATTGGTACCCTGAAGCTCCTTTACGTGGTTCTGCCTTCCGCTGCCTGCATCTGGGAGCTCCCAGGGACCCTGTGGTGGAGCTGGCAGCCAGGAGAAGCGGTCTGGACACAGAGGAAGTCCGAGCCAACGTCCCCCCCGAGCTCAGCATTTGGATCGATCCTTATGAAGTGTCCTACCAGATTGGGGAGAAGGGTGCAGTGAAAGTCCTCTACACGGAGGATCCACCAGGTTTAGGGGGCGATGCCGAAAGCTCCAACGTCGCTCTCAAAGGAGATGTGGAGTTCGAGGATGTCAAGAGTCTGGGCTTTAACCCAGAGGCTCAGGTCTTCGTGCCCATCGGTGGCCAGGTGTCGCCGGTTATGCTACCGTCGCTCTCCAGTTCGCCAACTCCTCTTTCTACCTCATCTTGCCCAGGACTGTTCGGTTACGCCGCTCCCAGCACTCCCACCAATCCCAGCGCTCATTCCTCCAACACATCCACCCCGTCGCCACCAAGCACCAGCCTTTTGTACTCTACACCCAACTCGCGGCCCACACCTCAGCCGATCACCTTCACCACAGCCAGCTTCGCCGCCACCAAATTTGGCTCCACCAAGATG